CAGACCAAAACCCTATAGAAAACATTTGGAGATTAATAAAAATTAATATATAAAAAAAAAAAATTTGATCAATTAGAAAGTTAAATAAAGAGTAAAAGAATGAATAGTATATTCTTTAAGTAAGAAAACTTTAGATATAAACGTTAAGCTATTAAAATCACCTTATAGAATATAGAAATTTATTTTGAATAAATGATAATTAACAAATACTATTCCTTCAAGCATTTTGCAGATAAATTTGCCTGCAATTTTATTTAATAATTAAAATTATTTATAATAATTTTAAACATTTTTAAAATAATTTATTTAAAAATTAATATTTTTATAATAAATTTTATAATATGGGATCTTTGCAATAGAAAAGGTGAAAACAGCCGAAAAAAATCAATTTTACTTTTATATGCCAAATATGATTTTTAGGTCAAAATATGTTCAGATTTAGCATTTACTTAATTTTTATTTTTTTTAGTTGTTTCCCCCTTTTCTATTGCAAAGGTCTCATATATTCTAAGTAAAATTCAAAAAAAAATGTAATTAATTAGTAATATTTTAAATATAAATACATGATAAATTATTATGAAAATTCAAATCCAGTAAATTAATATATAAAAATCCTGAAAATCAAGTACAACTAAAAATAAAGTTAATAAAAAATCTAAATGTTATTCAAAAAAGTAAAATATTATGTTATTCTTTAAGTTATTATATATTTATTTATACTTATATTTAATTTAAATATTAATTTAAATGAAAGTTATCAAAATTTTAAATTTTGAAAAAATTATAATTGAATTAGTAAATCAAAATGATCATTAAAAAAAAATCTCTAATAATAAACTATTATATAATACTATTATAATTTTAATTTAATTAGTTAATAAAATACTGCAGTAATAGATGATCATTAATTTGCGATATATAATTATATTTATAATATTTGTAATATGTTAAAATATATAAAATTATAATAATTGATTATCACAAAATATTAAAAATTGTTCTTTTATTATACTTCCTATTAGATAACTCAAATTAAAATAAAAATAATATTGTTCAGTTATAAGTGATAAAATAAAATATTAAATTTGTAAATAGTAAAAACTAATAAGAATAAGTAATATATAGACATTGTAAACTACTTCAATAAATTATATTTTAATTTAATAATTGACAGGAGTATTATTTTAATAATTTTATTATAAAAAGACAAATAAAGTATTATTTTAAATATAGAAGTAAAAACATTTAGACTTAAGGCAATCAAATTTCTATTACTTGATTAAACTTTGAATTTATGGATAGAAAATGTTATATCTAGAGATATTATTTTGATAGATTTCTTAATTAAATAAAAAGCAAAAATATTTGCTTAAGCATTGAATATACCAGAAAATGAATTGATATTTTTTAATAAATGGTTATATAAATTTAAATGACATAATAATATTTATAAGTTTTATATATATAAAGAGTTAAAAATACATTATTAGCTTTTTTTTTAAAAGAACAAATAAGATTACAATAACTTTTATATAGATTTACACTTAACTGAATTTATAATATTAATGAAATAATAAGTCTCTTTTTTTTATAAACTTATAAGTATTATATGCAATATAATAGAAAATATATATAATATAATAAAAAATGTGTAATATAATAGAAAATATAAGAAGTATAATGTAATTTATTAATGAATCTATTTTTTATATATTATATGCAATTTTTTAAAAAATTGAAGAGATTTTTTTATAGAATGTCTAAGTTAAATACTTTTTACAAATCAGTTTTAAGCTAAAAGAAAAATAAAATATATATTATAATTCTTCTTGATTTTAATATAACAGAAACTAATAAACTTAAACTATAGGTAATTGGAAATGCAAAGTGTTTGAGATCTCTTTCAAGTTAATCTAAAATATTTTTCAGTTTATTATTATAAAAATAAAAAAGCATGGATAAACTCAATAGTTTTGAATAGGTATTTTGTAAAATAGATAGCTATTTTAAAGTAAAAAATAAAAAAATCTTGCTTTTAGTTGATAATACTCTATTACATTTCAATTAATATTGTTTACCAACTTTAAAAATGAACAAAATAAGCAAAATAAAGATAATATTAATGAAAAAATTGAACTATTTGATAAGTCTTTGTCAATAAACTTATAAATTTAAAACTTTATTTCTGAAGTTATTTGCTAAATCTTTTTAATAAAAATCAAGATCATATTGATGCTTTAAGTAATCATTGTAGTAAATTAAGTGATAGATTTAGTGATCATAATAAATATAAAGCTAATATTTTCTAATAGCTAACTCATATTAAAGTAACTTTCTTACTATCTAATACTACAAGTCATCTCTAATCACTTAATCTTAAATTATTATAAGCTTTAAGATTCATTTTAAAAGAAAATACTATTAATATATGCTGAATCTTTTTGAAGATAGGAAGGATATTAATAAAGAGAAGATTAATATCAAAAATATAATAAATTATGTTAATAAAACGTAAAATCATGTGATAAAAAAATGATTTATAATTATTAGAAAAAACTGAAATCTTATCTTCTTCAACTAATGAAGAAATAAATAATGTAGAACAACTTCAATAAGAAATAATAAATGATAAAGAAATGAATATTATTTAAATAATTAATAAACTTAATATAGATAATCCTTTAGTTACTTTATTAGTAAATACATTAAATGACTTCTTTAATGATTTAAAAGGAATTCTGATTGAAAAAATTTTAAATGATGATGATATAATATAGATTAATTCAAAATTAAGGAAATAAAATGATAAAAATAATGATTCTAAAGAAGAACAAATACAAGTGTTTTCAAGTAATACTTTCAAATTCTTACAAATCTGAATGGTATTTTTTGAGTAATAGGAAATAAATGAATTTTGCATAAAAAATCTTTGAAATATACTTCAAAATAGTTAAATAGCTTGAATAACAATCTCAAAAGTAAGTTTTAATTACTAACTTTTTTAGTATTGATTAAGAATTTGATATATATTAGCTTTTATGATAATGATTAAAAATAGTAGATTTAATATAATAACATTAATATTTAATAATAGTCATTTATATAGTATTTAAATAATATCTGATATGTAATTTGTGTTTTGTATTTAATAACAGCTAATTGTTTTCGATCAGGTAGTTTTAATTTAGGATTTAACTATTTAAATAATGTAATTGTAGTCAGATTATTATTAATAAACAATGTTTACATTTTATATATAGAATTTATTAAATATCACTATTTTATTAATTAATCTTTATATAATTATTACATATGATTTCTAATATAGCGACGATTATATAAAGATTTCCTATATATAGTCGCACCTTTATACAATCACTGATTTTGTGAGATGACTATATGGAGGTTTAACTGTATTATGTTGATTTATTTATAATATACAGATTATATAAAAATAAAAAAATAATAAATAAAATAAATAAAAAAAGATAAACTTAATAAATTTATTAATAATAATTAAAAAAAAAAAATAAAGCTATTTTTTATTAATATTACTGTAAAGAATATTATAATTAATATAAATTATAATTTAGAATTTTATTTAGTGAGATATATAATTCCATTTATTTATTTTTTTATTTTATCTCTAACTTTTTCAACTTAGTATAATAAGAAAAGAATTGAATAATTATTACAAAATAATTAAATAATTCGACTAATATAGATTTTATTAGTAAACCGAAAATCAAATTAGAATTTTGAAGTATAATTTAAACTTTAATATAAGCTTTGATATTAAAAAGTGAATTTGAATATAATTATTTAAAATTTAATTAAAAAATTAAGATTAAATGTTAATATATTTTTATTTTATATAAACTGACTCGAGTATAGCTATTAATTTTCATTCAATAAAAAACCACAACAAATTTTTTATTTTAATCCATCCATTCAATGGTATTAATAAATTTTAAGAAAAAAACATATTTGACATTGTAGGTAGTAAAAGAAAAGTAATAACTGATACCTGGAACTTCTGTCAACAATCCTGAGTTCTTTAAGATGTTCTAAACATCATTATCCAATATTTGTTACTCCGATTGGTATAGCTATCAAAGTGACAAACAGGGTAGACATCTCTATAGTGCGAATAACGTTAATCATTCATAAATAAAATTCATTTAACTAGACAAGAAATTATTCACAACCCATCCAACCGATCAACCTATGCATACATTATATACATTATATTCTAAACTCAGTTTATTTGAAATTTACATATGCACAGATAGCCAAGCCAAGTTAATTTTTTTTTTTTAAAAAAAAAAAAAACTAATATATATTCACTTTCTTTAAATTCTTTCGATAAGCAACTTATTCAACCTATCAAAATGTATGCTCGATAATTTCACAAAATCCATATGTTGATAAAATGCTTTTTCTAAATCAAACAAAGAATCCTTCAATACTATATATAATAAGAAATTTTTTTTCTTTATAAATAAAGATATTTCAAACGATTACATTTCACATGAGATAAATATTAAAAACTTTACCGTTTATGACAATTAACGGATCAGACAAAACACGAGAGTATGTAAATGCAAATGGGTCTCCAACATCCCACTCATCCAAAGGTGGTTCATTAGAATATCGTTCGAGAGAAATTAAACAATCTAACATTGCCTCAAAGACACTGGCGGTATCATTCTGAACAATCCCATGTTTATCCTCATTCAATGATTTAACCGTTAAAGCCGTTAATGCTTATAGCCGTAAATGAAAAAAGTTAGTGAACGATTGATAAAGACGAAAGATTAATTAAAAAAACATACCTTGTATAGCACATATTGTGATATTTAAATCTTTAAAAACAATTTTCGTTCTTCTTTCAATTGATCTTTTGAGAAAAGGAACTATGAAAAAAGAGTATATTTTCCTTGTAAAATAAGGAAAATTACCTTTCACTGGATGGAACCACTCTAATAATTTCATTTCCCAATAATCCCGATCTTTAGTCATTGTCTCGGCTGTCATCTTGACCTCAAGATTTTTATGACCAACTCTTTTACGTTCCTTTTCTTTTAATGCATCTTTTTCCATGTTTCTGAACATATCATACTTTTTTCTCACCAACGATTTCCTTGTTTGTTGCTCTTTGATTTCGTCTTGTGCTGAATTTGCAAGCCCAAAGATCAAATCCATACATGAGCGCGAAATTTCTGTCCACGCGTCAGTGGGATTATTATGTTTGATACAACTAAATGCTTGTTTACGGTTGAAATCTGTATATATAGCACTACGCCTATACTGATCGAACTTTGCAATATGCCATAATTCCAAAAATGCCAATTGCTAGAAACAAGATAGTTTGTAAGATATTTGAATTTTGAAATTTTTTTTTTATTTTATAAAAACGAGCTGTAACAAAAAAATAAAATAAATAAAATAAAAACCTGATAGTAGGGTTGTTGGTATGCATGCAATCCATCTACAAGAATTGCATGAGGGTCCATATATACACCTATCGTAAAATGTATCTAAAAGAAAGAATACAATTATATGATTATAATTCTGTTTGTATGCTGCCAAACCCGAACAATTATTCGTACTGACCCGTGTAAAAAAATGCTCTATCAAAAAGTGTATTATAGACCAACACATAACAATAAAAATCGCACTAACAACCGTTCTATTAAATAGCTGCACATCAAACCAAGAAGCGCGCATCCAATGATAAACTGCGGTATTACTTTTGATTAAATTTTGAATTAAAAAGTTAGATAGATATAAGTGAAAAAGGGACATCTTTGAAAGAAAATCAACAGTAATTTTAATAGCAAGAACTTACTGTAAAAAGATAAGATTAGGTAACAACTCATAGATTGTATTCCAGATAAAAAGTTTAATGAACCAAGATATTATCGAAAAAGACAAAGCCGTCATTAGAGTACTCCATATAAAAATTTCATATTTACGGTTCCAAAATATCATAAGTTCTTTCGCTAAAGAAAAAGGATATCTTGGCTAAAAGAATAAAAAAAAAAAATTTAAATTTATACTTAATAAATTTAATATTATTTCTTTTTAATTAGTAACTTTGCCTACCTCAATTATATGAAATGGTAACATGTATCTTTTACGTAACAAGAAATCAAATCCATACCAAATCCCGAGAATTGTAGTGTGAATTAATGCAATCAAGTAATGCTCATTAATCATAGGGGGAAGGCTTTTACAATTGTCTTTACGATGACTCGGACACCAAAAACTATACAAACGAACAATTAAAAATTTAATTCTTAATATTAATAATTGGAAAAAAAATTGATTATATTATCTTACTCTTCAGTTCCAGGATATAAAAACATTGCTCTTGTTCGTTTATAACTTGCTCCAATGAGATCAAAATAAGTCCATCCTATGATGATCGAGGATATCATGTATATCAAAGGGATGATATAAGTACGCTTCTTATACATTAAGACACGTAATTCATCTAACAGACATTTTGATGTATTACGACGCACTACAAGCATATATCAGATTAATTAATCATTAGCATTACCTTTTCCGATAAACAAATATAATAAGTAAAAAAACAAAACAAAAAAGTACCTGACTCTTGTATAAGAACTTTTCGAAGAGCTATTATTGGCAGAAGACCTATAATGTAAACTTTTAAGAAAGCAATGAAAGTGTCCAAAACAAAGTTCATTAAAAGCTCGGCATATCCAATACATGGGGCTTCTAAATATGATGGTTTTCAAGAGAAATTACGCGTTAACTAATATTTTGAAAACTTTATTAAAGTTTCGATCAAATTTACAAACCTTTACCCTGAAACATGTATATTATAAAGCGAAAAAAACCGATAATCGCGTAAACACAGCCAGCCGACACCGCTAAAAATATGTTTCGTGTTTTCCCCAATTCAGTAGAGCCACATGCTAACCCATAAGTTGACACCTTTTGCTCTTCGCCGGTACTCATATTGCAGGCCTAAATTGGTTCGAAATTTCTTTAGCTGTCTATAGACGCGACCTTTTCCAATTGAATATTTAGGTTTTCGAATAAGTAATAAGATAAATTAAATAGTAGTGAAAAAAATTCAGGACGTTGAATTAGCAATTCAAACATTATCTTATATTAACCAATCAGAATGCTAAACTAAATTTATGGGGGGGGTGACAAATAGCATTTTGGTTGATCAGAAGTTTTTCATATAGACGACGACTTTATACACGACTTTGATATTGAACGTATGGAACCTTTGCAATATAAAGGGGGGAACTACCGGCAAAAATTACATTTTACTTTTATATGCCAAATATGATTTAGATCAAATATGTTACAGGTTTAACATTAACATTTTTTATTTTTTCCAGCCGTTTCCCCTTTTCTATTGCAAGTATATACATGTAATTGACAGTCAAAACGTGGACGATGATGTGAAAATTTCTGCATACCTAGGTTACAACCTTTTATGTTGCAACTAGTTGTAGACTTCAATACTATAATTCTTATATTCAACTAGTTGCAACTCGCTAGTTGCTGATCCAATTTATTGGTGACATTGCATAAAAAAAATTCGGTAATTTCAATCAATAATTAGCAAAGACTTGTTAAATCAAAATGTGCTTTATAATTTATCGTTAATAAAAAAAAATCATGTATTGACATTGTAACATTGATTTGGTGTATATATATTAATCGAGTATATACAAATATAATCAAAAAAAAAAAAAAAAAAATAGAATGCTCAACAAATAAATATAAAATTAATAAAGATTATTCAGAAAAATCATTTTCCTCTGATACCCATGCATATTCATTTTTATCATTATTTCCATCGTCATAAATGTGGTTTAACCATTGCTCAACGCCAATAGCTTGATAATGCGATCGAGGAGAGGAGAAAAGATGATATACATGGTGTCCTCCCTAAAATAAACATTGTAATTTAGAAATTGAAACTTTTATGGGTAGGAAAGGAAAGGAAAAAAAATAGGTCAATGATTTACCGGAATTGGAATGAATTGAATTTCCGATTTGGTTTCTAGAATCATTAATTGAAGAGAATTAGATAAAGAAACTATTCAGATAATTTCAAATAATAATTACTAATTACTTTTTTTAAATTCATTGACGAAATTAATGGATGATTTGAAAGGTATTAAAGTGTCACGGTCACCACTAATTTATTTTCCAAACAAAATGATTAGTTAATATCAAATGAATGAACCCTTTTAAAAAAAAAACTTACTGAAACACCAAAAATGGTACTGAATCATTTTTGATAAGATATAGTGGCGAATGTTCTTTACAAAACGCAATATCTTTGTTGCCTCGTCCAGCAATTTTTTTTGAAAAATAATCCGAGATATCGTAATCCCATAATTTCTGTTCGTCTACAAGGTCTGTAATAGCATTAATCAAGACACAGGCTTTAACAGATGTGTCAACCTCTTCGAAACCAGTTTGATATTCCCGTTTATTTGGCGTGAGTGCGAGTACCGCGGCAATCTGACCTCCCGCATCATCACCTTAATCAAATAATCAAGTAAATAATATTAAACAATGTTATATACATATATAAAGAAAATGTAAATAAATTTTTAAATTACCAGCAACAGCTATAAACTTTGGATCTCCACCAAAGTGCTCAATGTTTAGCTTCACCCACCGCAGAGCTCGTTTGGCATCGATCAATTGAGCCGGGTACAAAGTTGTCGGTGCGAGCCTGTAATTTACAGATACGACCACCTAAATGAAAAAAGTAAATAAACACATTCGAAAGTTTAAAAAGTTTTTAACAAAAAGATATTTACCCAACCAACTTCGGCCAAATGGCGTATCAATGGATATGGAGATGCTTTATCTCCTCTTATCCATTCACCCCCGTGAATAAACATCTAATGGACCAGTTTTGATAAAATAATTCATTGTTATATTCAACAAAAAAAAGCATAGAAAACTTATGAATAAAAATTACTCACAAAAACAGGTTTTGGAGTAGATTTGGATATATCCTTGCGAGCATAAATATCCAATGTTAAATAAGTTATTTGTTCAAATCCATCTTTTTTCGCATCGGATGCCTCTTTATGATCTACATAACTAACTGAAAAAAAAAACGATAGACACGTTACAGCCGAGTATTTTTAATAAATAAAACCAATGATATTATTAATTAAGAGCTTACTATCGCCATATTGGAAAACATTCTTAGGAACAAAGTGTGGATTCACCATTCTTTGCCAAAAAGTTTCACTAAAGTTATGATTAAACGATTATCAATTATTAAAAATACAAAACATTTAAAGTCTCCTGATTTATGAAAAATTATAGATGCCTTGTAAATGTCGGTAATTCTTTTTGATCCGAGTATGACTGAATGGCTTGTTCAATGGCGCGTCTTGCTTCATATGCATCAATGAAAATAACGACGAGTCTTTATATGTAATAAAAGTGTATAAGTTATCAATTAAGTAGGCATGAACCTCATAAAATTAATTTGATTTAAAAACCTTGAACACACCCAATCATATTTAGGAGATCAACTATGTAAAAAAGTTGTGGGATAATTCCTCCTGTTTTATAAAGAAATGAAAATATTGAAAAGTTTGAAACCTTTGAAAGAAAGGAAATCGAGGTTACTTAGATTTTTATAAACTTACTGAATACTCCAAGCATTGAAGCGACAATTATAAGGACAATTTTGAGAACTATAACAGGCAAAGGCCATTCGGAGATTAAAGAGAAACCAAAAACCGTAAGGTACTGTAGTTGAGGTACCATAGGTATTCTTCCTTCAACACTCGCATAAGTTAGAGCGGCGAAGAGGAGTACGAACGTGTAGTAAATGATTGCAAAAACCATGATCGTTGCTTTTGTAGATAACTGCGATAAATTAATTAGTATTGAAGAAAAAAATGGGTGCTGCTGCGGACAGCTTATTAAATCATGTTCTAACTTTTTATGTGATTGGTTGAAACGAAGGTTTAGGTTGTTACGTTGAAAGATAATCTATCCCATTTTCATGGTTAAAAAAGGCGCTTGTTTTGATTATGTCATTCACGTGTCTAACCCAACTAATAGGATACAGATGCAATTTTTTTCGATGTGGTAGTGATGGCACATACGACAGTTTCTTCGATCTATTCTGCAGCGGAAGACGTTCCTCTTATTTTAGCCCCACAATTTTCCTCGTTACAACCTGTAAGGAATAAGACAATTCGCAGTTCAGTTCACTGTTAAACAATCGATTTTTTAACGATTTCTTTTATTAGATAACGTTACCTCCTGATTTTAATCTTGACCTTCCTCAAGTGGTGAGTATTCGAATCAGGTGAAATTATACCTTAATATTTACAGAAATTAACTCGTATTGATGGAGATAATTAAATTTTTATTTCTTTTACAGCAAAATTATGACTTCAATTTGGAACGACATATTATTGCAGATTCTGAAAAACAAAGGCACGATAATGCTACATTAACGCAACTTCGTGCGCAAAAATTACAGGCACTTCAAGAGGAACGAATTCGTATACAAAAAGAAAAGGCTAGAAAAATAGCTCCTGGATTTTTGGATACTGATTTAAGAATTTTAACACCGGTTCCAGCTAATAATACTCAAAGAAGAGCTAGTCATCAGGTCGAAAGCGTAGATAACACAATCGCTATTAATAGTGAAAATGGTATAGATGAGCAGAAAGTACATGTACGATCCGCTTCGGATGATATACCATTGTATATTTTAGAGAAGATGAGGTCGAAGGAGGAGGGAGACGAGGTAAAATCACTTCTATTACAAGTCTCTATAATCAAAAATACTAATTTATATGACCAACATTTATTTGAATTAGGCCAAACCAGCGAAATCCTTGTTTTACTTGGAATTCGAGGAGAGTCTTTCTCCTCCAAATCTTTCCAACTCATCAAACACGATTCAAGATGACATCTCAATTTTAAGAGAAGTAATCGGGTCACCGGTACCAACCATATCATCCAACGAAAACATTTCCGTTGCGGATAGAGGTGTAAACGGATCTCCCAACTTTTTTGGTGCTCCCGCTAATCAGGATATGGTCGTCAATAACCCAAATCCTCCAAGGTCATATCCATCACCACTTCTTCATCCTTCTGTAGTACCTTTACCATCTCAATTATCCAATGAGGTTTTTACATTGGGGTCTTCAGCAACTCATAGCAATCCCGACCTTCTATCAAATAAACTCGGCAATTTACAAATTTCTCAAAATACTTATTCAACTTCACCTATAAATAATACGTCCTCGTCCATTCAAGGGCACAGAACTTATTCAGCACCATCATCTAGTATTGAACGTCTTTCTCCACATCAACCTTATTCCATCCCTCCTGTTCCACCAAAAGAAATATTGCCGACATCATCACCCTCTCCCAAGAATGAGGAAAGTGAGAAGGATATTAATCCTGATTTAATAGAGCAATTTATTAACATGGGATTCACGAAAGAACAAGCTGTTGACGCTTTGGAGAAATATGATTATGATCCTCATAAGGCAACTAATTATTTGTTAGATTTACAATAATACATCTTTAAACAAACATTTCAAGATTTAAAAGATACATAATTCTCACTACACATAATAAAAATTAAAACAATAATTTCATCAAATAGATTATTTATTTACTTATGTAACGATCAAAAATTGATCCATAAATAATAGATGTTGATTATTGTACCACAACGATGATCGATCGACAACCAGAAAAACCAAATTTGTTCGATCAAATTTGGTTTAGTCAAAAAAATTTTTTTTTTTCCTTCTTCAAGTCGCGTGAGGCGTGAGAGTTTTGCTCCTCACGAACATTTTTTTTTTTTTTTTTTGAACCATTCAAGCTCAAATTTTTTTATATTTTCTATCGTTGTCGCGTTTTATATTAAAAAATTATGGTGAATCAGACAAGGCAAGAAGTCCTTCATAGTTGTAAATGGGGTGGCTGCAAAGAAAAGTTCAATTCTAATTTATCGTTATGGAAGCATGTCGAACAACACGTTGATAATGCAATACCTCGTTTAACACACATGGTGAACGATGACGACGGTATACTTGGTTCTTGTAAAATTAACGAATTTAAACCAACCTTTGTAGTTTATTAATTGATATTCATTTATAGATGCTCCTGCCGCTCCTGTCACGGCGCAGTATAATAATAATACGGGCATGACATCAAATAATTCTGCTGCGACTTCACGAGTAAATCGATCTCATATCGTTCAACCCCATACAAATACAGGTAGAATCAATCCTACCATGAATGTAAATTTAATGAGACCAGTTTTAAATTTACAAAGTTCGCATCAAACACGACCTCCTCAGTTACAACAGGTTTCTCATATGTTAACACAAGTAAGTCCAACCATAACCTATAATACTATTGGTGTACCACAATTCGTGAATACATCACAAAGGAACCAACCTTCTGCTGGTCAAATTCAAATACAGACAGCGTACCAGCAGCATCTTTCAACGTCAGCACAAAAGCCTCAACTCCAACAACGCCATCATCCAAGCGTTTTTACATCGTTGTTGGCCCTGCAGTATTCTCAACAACAACAACAAATATCGTCCTCAAATTATTTATCTATACCACCTCAATTTCGACCTGCTACTTTTCTGATACAACAACAACAACAACAGCAGCAGCAGCAAATAATTCAATCGACAGGTCAATCGTCCGGCGTGCAACAGATGATCCCGTTAGGGAGCCTGCCTAATCCTATAACTATTGATGATAGTAATTTCGTGATGGATGTTGATTCGCCTGTTAATGTTAATCATCAAAGATTGGGTCGTCCTCCAGCTTTTACGAATAACGATTCCGTTAGAGCAACTCAAATGCAAAAAAAAGTTGTTAATTTAAATATGAATTCACAATTTTTAAGTCAAAATACAAAGAAATAAAGTCTGCCGATGTCGATACAATCGAAAAATCGAAATTTAATTGAATGTAAATTATCGATGTTTATATCTTTTTAGGATCTACTTCCAATAGAATCTTTTAATTCGGTCTGATAGTTTTTCTTGAATTTTATTTAAATTTTTTTTGTTCTCTTTTTCCAATGGGTCTTCTAACGAAAATGTTTTATTTTGTTTGTAGCGATTCATATTTGGAATGATTTCTTTGGAAGATTTGCGAATTGTAGATGTTATAGGATTGGTTGGGAAATACCGCAATACATCAATCAAATACATTTCAATAAAAGAACATTTCCTTTTAAACCATAGAAAAATTAAAATTAGAACAATTAGAATTTGTATTATAATTAGAGATTCTATGAATCTCGGTTATAATAATGAGTTGGTTTTCTTTTTTATTATTATTACGATGAGTTAGTAAATTTCGAGCATTTTCAGCATACTTGCAATAAATCATTAAAATTTCACTGTATATTGCAGAACTAATTAAGAGAAATAAAAATGCAATGAAAAAAAAAAACAATTTTCATACATGATTGCTTAGGCTAAAGGATGACCTTTAGAATGAAACAATAAAAACGATAAAATCTTACCCCAAAAAAATTCAAATTCAGACAGAATGCAAAATGTAAAATTTGAATTTAGACGAACAATAAATATAAGAAATCTAATTAATCTCAGTTGATATCGGACTTTTTTAAAGAGATAGATAATCTTTTAGGCTTCTTTGTCGGGCGTTGATCCGCGGTATCATTCTTGAATTTACCACTTCGTGAAGAACCTGTTACAACAGTTCTGTCGTTTTCACTTCTTCTGTCACTTGTGAAGAAAGCAGCTTCATTTCCTATATATAAATAATAATAATAATAATATAAAAAAAAAAAATAAAAGCACCCATCACGAGAAACAAATTGAGTATACATATAAGTGTTGACATGATCCCACCATCAAAAATTCTTATCAACTTTAACAAAAAAAAAAAAAAAATTTATGAAAATTTTTATGTTAAAGACGCCGTAGTTTCATACCGTCTATGGCCATACTCTTTCTTCGTGTAGCTGGTTCATGCGCTCCTCCTGAAACTTCACTTCTTTTAAATTCCGCAATTAATGTTTCGACGTGATCTTTCATTTCTAACGCCATTTGGTGGATATCTGTTTCTTCTCTGTTAAACACCGAGGCATTCATAAACATTAACATTAAATCACGATGAAATAAATTGGTATCATAGATAGCCTAAATTGAATTTTTTTTTTTTAAAAAAAAAAAAAGCTAGTGGTTAAATATTGATCTTGTAGAAAAAATTTTGAATTTACTAAATTAAGATACCCCTTCGCGAAGACGTTTCTTTAAAGTTCTTAAGTCCATTGATTGTTTTACTATGTCGTAATAACCAGGTGCATCTTGATCCCTGATTGGGTTTTGAAAAACGCTAGCAAACCGATGATTACTAATTTCGAGTAATATCATAGAAACCAGTTTCTGCCATGTCTTAAGTTTCTTATCATCTAAAAATAAAAATTTATAAACAAATTTGAAAGCAAAAACGTGTTAAAAAAATAAGCACTATAAAATATTACTTATTTTACCTGGAGTTTCTCCGCTTGGTGTTGTATCAAGAGGGGGAGGAGTTGAAGGGACGACTAAAATTTAAAGTGTTATAAGAAATTGAATATATCCTTAAAAGTATTGCGACTCCACATAATTAATTGCTTACGATCCCCAGAAGGCGAAGGTGCTGCATTAGAAGGAGTTGTCGAAACGATAGGAACTGGTGAAGTAGACTCCAAACCAGCACCAGAAGTTAAAGGTTCCTTGGGTTCTATCAAAGGTGTAGGGGTGACCTTTCCTATCGAACTATATTTTTCGTCATCCTCATTTTCTTCGGGAAGGGTTGATAAATCTACCATACGCACATCTTCCTCATCATCATCCTCTTCTACTGAGATATCTTCCTTTTTATCCGACTTGGTTACTTGTTCAGTGAATGAACTTTCTATAATATAAGGTGAAAATTCTTCCTTTATTGAACCCACTGATTGTTTTAATTTAGTCTCAGAAATTTCTGGTTCCTTGCCTTTCGCTACAATAATCTCTTTACTTTCAATTTTTTCCTTTGCAATTTTATGAGGTTGACCTTTCGATTCATACTGTTCTTTAGATATATGTTCTTGATTAATATTTACTTCTACTTCTTCAATAGAGGTTGGTGAAGTTACATTAATCTCAGAAAGGTGAACCTTTGAAGGACTTTTGATAGCATCTTCTGTTGCTATAAATTCTACTTTAGGTTCATCAATGTCCATTGCAACTTCACAATCGATAGTTTGTGGAGTATCTGTTACATTGACAGATTCTGTATTTGGAAATACGGTTATTTTTTTAGCTTGGTTAACTTTAGAAACATCTGTTTCTAATATTGATTCTTGTGTAGGAACCGATGAGGATGCATCCATAGACTTTTGTGTAAGTTTCTCATCAATATCCATCATAACATCATCTTCCACAAGAAGCTGATCAACATTGCCTCTTCGTAATTTATCACCTTCAGTACTTACAACAATTGTTGGTACTTGTTGAACATTTTGACCCTTTGAGGGAACGATAATCAAGTTATAATTTAGATCTGAAAGTGGTGTTGATGGTGTTTGAGGTTGTAGCACATCATCATTAACTTCAGTAGGTCTTGATGATGACTTCAAAGAAGGGACCACATCAATTTTCATATCTTCTACATTTGGAACCATTTCAGTTGGTTTAGTTTTGACTCTTGTTAATTGTGGTTCTACATTTTTAATAATTGTTTCCTTTTCTATTATTGAGGCGGTTGTAACATTCTTGTCAATTTTCACTACAGGTTGAAGAATCTTCTCAGCTACTGAAGGTTCAACCTTAAGATTTACATCGGAAATCGAAGAATCAGTTGACCCTTTAGGTTCCACCGTTGATATTTTAGAGACACTTTCACCTGCTGCTTTCTTTTCTTGATCTTTCTTTTTTTGTTCTTCTTTTATCATCTCAGCAAATTTATTATCCCATTGTCCCGATTTAATTTCATCGATTTCGGTTACAAGTTTCCTTTTTTTTCAATAGAAAATGAAATGAAACTAATTTTTTTTCTTTTAAATTAAAAGATCAATATAAAAGAATGTTATCGGAATTTACCGAAATTTTTGTTCATCTGAAGTTATTAATGATTTCAGTTCAGCAATACGTTCATGATAAAGTTGTCGAGCCAATTTCGCGGTCCAAGGCATACGTTGCTTGTCTTTTATTTTATTTTTTTTTTTTTTAGAAAAATTTGTTTAAAAACAACAAAAACAAAAACAAAAACAAAAAAAAATGATCATTGCAAACAAAAATTTTAACTTCCTAAATACCATTTACATATTCTCCAGATCTCTTTTTATGCTCACTAAAAATGATCGGTATTTTTTGATATTTTTTTTTTTTATTCAGAATGAAAATTAATTAAATGGATATTTGTTTTTTTTCCCACCCCAAACTACTTTTTAATAATTTTTTTTTTTTTTTTTTTTTTTAAAAAAAAAAAAAAATTATTATTATTATTTACAAATATATATTTGAAAGTATTTGTCAAAAGTCGTGTCAAAGCTAAATTCATCACTTTTATTATACACGTCAGTGTTAGATTTGGACATATAAGTTTATATATGTCCAATGAGATAAATGTCCAACACTGTATACAAGCCTAAATTCTATTCTTTAATAAATATCTCGAATCATAAACAAAAAAAAAAAAAAACATACTCTTCAATTTCTGCTTCATTCTTTAACGGATCTACTAAAGTATTATACTTAGTACTGCAGTTCTAAAATATAAGTTATTCGCAAAAAACAAAAAATTAAAAAAATATAAATAAATAATAAAGTATTGCACAAACTCGATTCAAAAAGTATAATTCAGAAAAATAAAACCACTCGAGAATTTTCAATTAACCTTTTGAGTGAAAAATTCTGAAGGGTGAGAAACCATTGGATGACTTTTCATCGTACGTGAAATAGCAAGCCAATTGTCTCCATGTTTATAAACAGCCTGTATAAGCAACAGTTTTTCAAAGGTTGTCCAGGCATTCTCATCGGTTTGTGGGGTAGCCATGATCTAAATTTTCCGGTTTATTTATTTACTTTTTCATTTTGTTATTTATTATTAATCCGATAGTGGCTTGGCGTCTTCTTAAGTCACGAGACATAATTGGTCAGGTGACAATTCGAATTTTGTTTAATTTCGAGGAGGTTTGTTTTCTTATAATAAGCAGACAGGTTTTTTTGGTTTTTTTTTTTTTTTTTTTTTTTTTTTTTTTTTTTTTTTTTGATGGAATTTGAATCTCACGATTTCAAAGGGAAACGTCGTCGTGTTTCTTACAACACTTTAGACGAGCATAGTAAGTTGGACCCACAAGATAAGAGTTATTGGTCTCCTTCACCACCTTCTTCTTCCGATGAAAGTATGGACTTTAATATTGATTCAAATGATTCTGAAACAGATTCTGACAGTGAAAGTGAAATGAAATTTCAAACGAATAATAATGAGATAATCCTCTCAGAGAATGAAGTAGAATCGTGTAGTTCAAGCACGATAACAGATGATTCATACAGTACAGTGACCGGCGAAAATAATTCACGCGTGTTTGAAGATTGGCAAACTTGGGTTCCAGAACTATCATCAAGTGAGGATGACAATCCTTCGTCTAATACAATAAAAAGACAAAGGGTTGGAAATAATTTTAATACTTGCTTTATTTGTGGTGGTCCCGATTTATATTATAATTTTATTTGTATATGTGTTGGTTGTAATGTTGGTTATCATCAAACGTGTCATGAACCACAAATTAGTGATAGTATCGCAAATAAACGATCTGGTAACGGTGAAAAGTGGTTTTGCGCGAATTGTCAGAAAAAAGCCAATAAAGAACCATTAATTTTACATAGGAATGGTTCGAGCAATAATGTAAGGGTTGACACCAGATCCACTCTCAATAACAAAGTCATAGATAATAATAATAATGATACTATAGGATCCGTTAACCAACAGGCTTTGGATCGCGATGAAGGAATAAAGAAGAAGAATGTTGATGATTCAAGCAAAAGTAGGAGACAAGATTCTTATCAAGAGAAATCTAACAAATGTTTGTTGACCGTTAAAAAAGATCCCAGAGGATCATCGGATAAGAATCATTTTTCATCGCGATCTCAAGCAATTACTGATCAGATTCATAAAAGTAAAATCCATAAAAAACGTAGAGGTATATTACCAGTTATAATTCAACCATTTGAAAGGAGGCATACTACAGCATCCGAACTTCGAAGATTATTTGATAATTGTCCGTTATCAATAGTGAACTTTGATGAGATCTTTATTCCTGAGGAGTGGGGTAACTTTGTAGAAATTCCCACCACAAGCGTAGAATATATCATGCCTAGTGCGAGCTCAATTTCATCGGGTACGAGTGCCATCTCTTTCAAGCAAAGTAAATATGTGGGAAATTCTAAATCATTAGACTATGATTTGCCTGGCAAGATTTCAACTCTGGTAGGCAAGAATATGGTTTCGATCAGAAAGCATGCTAGTTTATCATCTAATAAGAATTCCGTTACCCCTGCTCTAAAACGTGTTCACTCACCATCAAAGAACACGCCTTCACCTACAAACAAACGTCCTGTTCCTTCAAGTAACGACAACGGTTCACATACAAAATGTATTGTTCCTTCATTTAATGAATCCGATTCAAGTTCACGGAATGCAATGGTTTCAATGGAAAGTTATTCAATGTCAGGGAAGAACAATGGAAGAGGTGATTTTACGAGTGATGATGAATATTCCCCTTCCAAAAAAGTTGTCACGCCAAGTAAACCGGTTGGATTTGTAGAAAACGTCGACGCTGACTTTAATATCATGTCATTACTGCCACCTAATCTAATCCCTTGTTTAAATTTCGGAGAACTAGCTTTTCGAGAAGGTACCATAGATCGCAAGAAAACTATCAAACGCGGGCGAGTGTTCCCCGTAATTAAGTAAAAAAAATTTTTTTGTCTCTTTGATAGATGTTATCAAATAAATATACATATACAATTTGTGGTAATGATCAATCAAATATAGGGGAATAAAATCATAATTCATTCATTTTTATAGAATTATCACCTTCACATATTTTTTTTTAGAGATGTAAAAAAGTAATTTATATGTTACATGTAATAATTTACAATTGTTTAATTTTGATACATATTATGTATGTATAGTATATGCTTCTATGGGATTTATTTTGTATTTTTATATTATTATTATTATTATTATTTTTTTTTTTTTTTTTTTTTTTTTTGTAGCTAAAATGATTCATTCATGTCTTTGGGTTTTCACCAAAACAAAACAAAAAAAAAAAAAAAAAAAAAAAAAACTATACAAAGAAATAATACATGATAAATTAATAATATAATTCGATTAAAGTAATTATGAAACACTTTTTTACGTAAAAAGTATAAAAGTGATTGGATTCTTTATACAGTCATATCAAAAATTTAAGTACTATTATAAATTGATGTACGATTATACTTGAATTGAAAAATTGTTATTCGACACATAAATAAACACTATACGTATACCTAAGATCATTCTAAGAACATGTCGCTCCTAAGTGATATGTATATAAATATACAGGTTAAGTAAAATAGTTTTTATTAAAAAAAATTGAATTCGTAAATCTCGCTTATGTATTATAATTAGAAAAAAACAAATAATTTTTTAAAAATATATAAATCAAACTATTATTTAAAATATTCACTTATATAATTTTACTTTTAAACCATACACCAGCATCAAATTTATAATAATTTCAAAATCAAAGCACAAATTATCGTTATTTTTTGTTATTATTAACCTTATCCACGTAACTCAAACATTTGGCGACACATTGACTATCAATCAATTGGAATTCGAGAATATTTAGTAAATGAAATGCAAATTCATTTCTCAAATCCAACGATATTATTTGATCACCGCGTGACTTAGAAAACTGAATACAAACTTCTGGAAGATTGCGATCAGCAAGTCCCCTAAATTGATTAAGAATTTTAATATCATATATATATTCAACAAATGATTCCTTATAAAAAAAAATAAATATCCATACTTTTGTGGTTCTATAAATCTATTCCAAATTTTCATCATTAATTTCTCTTTATCATTCACATCTGATATTTCGTCAAGCGTCTATAACAAAGTTAATAATAGATTAATAATAATAATAATAATAATAATAATTATTATTATTATTTAAAGTAGGTACATATACCTCATCGTTGAGCTGCTCCACCCAATGAGTACAAATATCGTCCTCAGAATCATTTACATTTTCATCACCAATGTATGGCATGAAGGTATGAGAATGATAAAATGATTGTGAAGGCAATGATGATAATGCCACTGGTGGCGTTGTGTATTGCTTTACAGGATACACAAATGGTTTTGGATTCCAGATACCTTCACGCTTATCAATATCAAAAAAATCCAACTCTGACAGATCATCGTTTGAATTAACAACAATTACGCGATCGCTTGGTGGTTGCTTGCCATTCTATAAATGTTTTGCATCTCTGATGGATTTATTATTGTGAAATAAATGTTATCACTTATCGAAAAAAAAATTATTTTGAAATGAAATACCTTTGTACCAAATTTCAAATGCATATGATTATTACGAAGATGAAGCATCAAACACGTACTATCCTTAAAATTAAGGTTGATACACCATGGACAACGAAACCCTCTTACTGCCTGATGTAATTCGCAATCAGCAACGCGATATATAAAAGTCACGGGTAGATCATCATTCTGAGTAATGGTAGGCACTGGCTTTGGCATCGTGGGTTTTAAAGGGAGATGTACTCTACACTGCCAATCAATTGTAAGCTTCATTTTCCAATTTGAATCTATTATTGGACCTTTTTCAAGTGCATATCTAAGATCAAGTTCGTATCGATCATCTTTACAAAACTTTCCACCTTCTAACGCATTCAATTGAGCACACAGAATTCGACGACCATCGGAAAAATCAACAGGTATTAAGGGATATTTTTTCTTTTCACCATTAACCGGTTTCTTTAAAGGTTCCGAACTTAAAGGTGGCCATGTTTGACTATTGATTACATACAAACGGAAACCTATAACTACATCCCGATCGTCCACATCGTCTCCATCAGTATTTGTTGAGTAAGGATTCAGTTCGAAAGTTTCTTTTACATAATTACCGTTTTCATCCACCACTATGGGGGCAATTGATCGATGAAGTAATTTAAATTCTTCATCTTGAGTGTTCGTTTTACGTTTTTTCATAACATTGGTCGGTAATTTTCTCTACATTTATTAATATTAAGGATAAAATAATTATCAATTGACTTAATTTTTTTAAAAAATATGAAATAACATGATATAAGCGGACCTTTATTTCGAAAAGAGCAACTTCACATTCGGCACTAAAGCGTTTATTTTCTGAAGAATGGCTTGCTGATCTCAAAAAATTCCGATAAATTAATTTAAAATCAATAAATCATCATTTTCATGAAACTCCTACCATTTGTGACCAACTCATCAATCGTAAGATTAAGAGTTCTATAAACTCGACTAATCAAAAAAGTTAGATCGTTTTAACAAAAATTTTATATAAAGATAGATTCAAATGACGTTCATTCAAATTGATAAAAACCTAGTGGAAATGTTTTCGTCTTCTTGTATACGACGCTTAGACAATTCTTCAAGTGTTAGGCGTCGTTCTCTTTGATTAAAATTAGATGTTCTTACCGGTTTTCTACGAGATTTTTGAATGTATGACAAATTTCTTCTAAGGTAACTTTTCTTTTTTCGATAGAAATTACATAAGATTGTAATGTATAAAATTTAAGAATTGTAAAATTATTTTGAAATGTAACTTACAGGTCTCTGATTAATTAGCCAATGGTATAAACATGAAGGTCCTATTATAAGGTTAACATAATAAATTATCTATATAGAAGGCTTACAGGAAAACATGTAATCGCGTTCAAGATCTCACCAGTGAAAGTCTCTCGAAATAAACTAGAAACTCTATTTTGATCGACAATGTTCTTAATGGCCCTATTTACCATGACTCGTAACACTAAATTATCCCAACTGTCAAATAAAATGTTGAATAAAAGTTTTCTGCAAAACGTTCTACTATCGAAAGGTTTTGTTTATCTTTATATCACGGGGCGGATTACAACAGATAAAGCACAGAATTTATAGTTGGGTTAAGTAGTCCAATCAGAAAATTTTTCAACGTTGTCCAAATTTGGTAAATTGGCAACCGACATGATTACAAATTCGAACACGTCTCCACCTTCTCAGGACAGTTCCTTTGGCATTAACTTTATATACAGCGGATCGAAACATTTTTACAATCAAGGAACAGATCTTTGCTCGATGCATTGTAACTCGAGGAAAAAAAACGCGTTTTATGCTCTAAAATTATAACTTGTTACCTCGTTAACGAATATAACATATATAATGGTGGAGAGATAATGTGATTCCTATGTAATTTAATCAAATTCAAAGAGGCATTTATATAAGAATCGAATTAAATTTTGCGAAGCGTAAAAAAAAAATTGGTAACTTTACGTGACTTATGAAACGACATAGGGGTTGTGATGCTGCACCCTACCCCACGTAATCACGCCATATCACAAATGCGGCATTATATATGTGTGACACAACTAGGGACATTCTCCCACACCCTACTCGGGTCTAATTTGGGGTAGCTCCCTAATTAGTTTCAATGCTTAAACACAGTCTTTATTTTTTTGTATTTAAAGTCAAAAATTATAGTGATTATATAAGTATAAATGAACTTTGTGGTCATTTAAATACTGGAATTGTGAAAAATTTTCTCATTACCCCATTTAGCCAGGCTTTATACTCTTTAATGGATGAAATGTTTCTTTACTTTCTGCGATCATGTAACAATACTTTTTAAATCTTGATTCGAAAACGATCCAAAATTTAGAAGCCATACAGAATTGTCAAATGAGAAACCCGATGATCACCTGATTCACCGTAGTTATTGGCACTAAAAGTGTTCATAAATTTATTAAATAAAATAAATAGTAATAAAAAAACAACCAATGCTTATATATAAAATACATAATAGGATTTTTATAATTTGGATTTCAATTTTGATCTTTTTTCATTAGCCTTTTTGATCTCTCTTGCTCTTCTCAATTCCAATTTTCCAATTTGCTGTATATGAACTTCGTCCGGACCATCTGCGAATCTTAATGTACGTCCTCCAGCATACATAGCAGCAAGTGGGAAATCTTCACTTACACCACCAGCACCGTGAGCTTGTATTGAACGATCAAGAACTTTTAACAACATAGAGGGTACTATAGCCTATTATTTACAACAATCAAAATAATAACTTAAATAAAATACATAAGCAAAAATTCTACATCTTAAACTTATTTAAAGTAGGATAAATACCTTTGCCATTCCAATTTCTTTCAAAGCGTGCTTTGCACCTACTTTATCAATCATATCCGCGGCATTAATAACAAGAAATCTAGCCTGATCGATGATCATACGTGATTTTGCAATATCAGAAACAACAGTTCCATGTTCTGCCAAAAGTTTTCCAAAGGTACGACGAGAAGGATCTGTAACACGTGCAATCATTAACCGAAGACCTCGTTCAGCAGCCCCAATTGCCCTCATACTAATAAATGATTAATATAATTAAAGAGTAAATTTAAATATCATAAATATTGCTGTGAAATCAATGATTAAAAGATATACCAATGATGGAGTCTTCCGGGACCCAAACGCCCTTGAATCACTTCAAAGCCTCTTCCTTCACCCAAGATAATATTTTCAACGGGTACCCTAACATCCTTGAAGATGATTTCACAATGCCCTTCGGGGGCATCATCATAACCGAAGATTGTAAGTGGCCTAATAATATTTATTCCAGGTGTATCTCTTGGAACAATAATCAAACTTTGTTGCCTATGTTTGTTTTCGTTTCCCGGATCGGATTTTCCCATAACAAGAAATACGGCACATCTTGGATCACCAGCACCAGAAATCCACCATTTATGTCCATTAATAACATATTCATTACCAACGCGTAAGATTGAAGTTTCGATATTTGTCGCGTCAGATGATGCAACTTTCTTTTCGGTCATTGCAAATGCCGAACGAATTTCTCCATTTAATAATGGAGTGAGCCATTTTGACTTTTGTGCAGACGTTCCATATTTTGCAAATACTTCCATATTCCCAGTATCTGGAGCCGAGCAATTTATTGCCTAATTATCTTGCAATTAGTTTCGTTATATAAATGATAAATTATCGTATTAACTATTTCTTGATAAATAATGGATTACCTCTGGAGCAATGCGAAGTGATTTACCCGTTATTTCAGCCATGAGAGCATATTCGAGATTGGTTAATCCGGCACCTTCATGATAATGTTTAGAAAGAAATAAATTCCAGAGTCCCAATGATCGAGCTTTCTTTTTTAGTTCTTCAATTATTGGTGGAACGGTCTATGATCACAATGTATAATTTCAAAGGAATTTACGAAATACGTGTTTTTAAAGAGAACTTTTATATAATTATTAACATAAATCATCTAATTTTACAAGTTTTGATCCAAATGAATTGTTAATTTTACCTTCCATCGATCTTCTCCTTTGTCAATTTGTTTATGAAAAATTGGTTCTGCGGGAACACATTCATTCTACATAATTTTCGAATTAAATAAATAACTAATCAAATTTTAACGCTAGCCATACGGTTTACAGACAGACCTCAACAAAATTATCCAATTTTTTAATTAATTCCTTTGCCCGAGGAGAAATTTTCTCTTCAATTAATGAAGGTATGATATAAACCATTTTGATTAAAATTACACAGTAAGTTAGTTGTAATAAGAATGAATCTAATGAATCGATTATTATTTTATTTGTAATTTTATACACCAATCAATACTATATTTGGACAATAAAAAGACGAGGCAAAGTCTTTTTCCGTAATTTTTAACGTAAATCATAAATTAGATTTGGCTGAAAAAATGTAGTAGATTATTTTGGCTCCATCCTAAAATACATTGTAGAAAATTTAATTGGTCATGATCTTAATTTTTATTAATCCGGAGCGTAAGCGAAGGACTATATGGGCTTGCGTCAGTTAAAAAGGGAAATCGCCCTCCCAATCAATTTTGAAATTTTTGGTTCATATGATATAAATTTATAATGTGCCTTATTTTCACTTAATTTTCGAGATATATTAATAAAAACTGAAATATGCATAATGTCGATCATTTTATTTTGATCACCAAATTATCTGATGAGGCGATAGTCATGAGCCAATGGAATTCATACCTGCAACCTGCCCATTGTAATATTATGAGAAACAAACAATATTTTTCTTCATGATAGGTCTTTCAAGTATGCTAAGAATATTATTAAACTATATAAATATCTTTTTTATTTATTTTTTAGATTTTGGATAATTTAAAATGATTTAAATTTTTTATTTGGATGGACATTAATGGTAATGCCTTTTTTTATTTTTTAAATCCTTAGATAATTCTTTACCATATATCTCTTTTTTGTTTTTTAAACTCTTAGATAAATTTTAATTATTTTTTGTAATATATTAATAGAAGGACTCATAATTTAATAAGTTTTTTTATTTAGACAAATATTAATAGCATTATTAATTTAAATTAATGCCTTTTTTTAGTTTTTAGATTCCTGAATAATCCTTCATAGTATTTCTCATTTTTTGTTTTTTAGGTTCTTAGACAGAATTTTAGACTATTCTTTATAGTATATCAATTAAAGTTCCAAATGAGTTGAGTCAAGTCGAGTTTAAAGACCAACTCTATTCAACTCATTTTTTTCAAGTTAAGTCGAGTTAAATTTATTTATAAAATCTTTCAATTTGATTTGATTCAAGTTATATAAATTTTAAACTCGATTCAATTTGACTCGACTCAATTTTAACTTGATTCGATTTTGAAAAAAAAATAATAAAAAAAATGAAAAGAACAATTCGAGTCATCGTTCTTCTTAAATGATTTTTTTTATTGTTCAAATCAAATGATTTGGGTCATCATTCTTGAATGATTTTTTATCGTTCAAGTCGAACGATTTGGGTCATCATTCTTCTTAAACAATTTTTTTATCATTCAAGTTGAACGATTCCTTATCATTCTTCTTGAATGATTTTTTTATCATTCAAGTCAAACAATTTTTTATCGTTCAAGTTAAACAATTTCTTATCGTTCTTCTTAGAACGATTTTTTTATCGTTCAAGTCAAACGATTTCTTATCGTTACTCTTAGAACAATTTTTTTATCGTTCAAGTCGAACGATTTTTTATCGTTACTCTTAGAACGATTTTTTTATCGTTTAAGTCAACTCAAATCAACTCGAGTCAACTTGAATCAAGTCGAGTTAAATATTTAACTCAACTTGAATTTGACTTGACTCACAAATCATCGAGTCAAAAACATAAACTCAACTTGATTTGAACTCGACTCGGCTTATCTGATTCGTAAGTTAACTCGACTTGTCTAGAATTCTAATATCAATAGGAAGATCTTAGTTTAATAGGATTTTTATTTAAGTAAATGATAATGATATTATTAAACTAAATTAATGCCTTTTTATTTTTTAAATTTCTAGATAATTCTTCACAATCTATTTTTTTTGTTTTTTAGGTTTTAGACAAAATTTTTAATTATTCTTTACAATATATTAATAAGAGAGTTCATAGTTTAATATTATTTATTTGTGGATGCTATTAAAGTAAATTAATTATTTTTTATTTTTTAGATCTTTAAATTAATTCTTTATAATATATTATTCAAGTAGGCTTATAATAATATTAATAGTAATATTAATGCATTTTTTTTTAGATTATTAGACAGTTTTTGATAATTCTTTATAATATGTTAATAGAAAGAACTTGTAATAATATTAATAGCAATATTAAAATTATTTTTTATTTTTATTTAGATATTTAAAATAAAACATTATGATAATTCTTTAAATAATATGAAAATGATATTATTTGATAATGCTAATAATAAATTCTTATT